CGAAGGCAGTTGCTTAACCAACTGAGCCACCCAGGCACCCCTATATAATTACATTTATACGAAATGTCCATAACAGACAAATCCACAGAGACAGAAAGTAAATTAGTGGTTGTCAAGGGCTGGGGTTGGAAGGATTAGGGGGTAATAGCTAAATGGTGGTGGAAAATGTTCTAAAACTGTAGTGATGGTTATACAATTTTGCAAAAACTGAACACTTTATTTCTATTTTATTTTTTTAATTAAAAGATTTTATTTATTTATTTGACAAAGAGAGAGAGAGCACAAGCTCAGGGAGCAGGAGAGGGGAGAAGGACCCTGGGATCATGACCTGAGGCAAAGGCAGATGCTTAACTGCCTGAGCCACTCAGGTACCCCAATATTGCACACTTTAATGTGTGAATTCTGTTGTATGTGAATTATATTTCAAGAAAGTTGTTACTACAAAAAAAAAAAAAAAGTCTAAAGCCTGATTTAAAGCCCTAGCTGTGGGGAATGGAAAGGTTTCAAAAGATGTTAAGGTAGAATCCAGGGGCTCATCAATACATGATACAATAAATCTCTTTTTGCCACAATGAGGGAGGGGGCTTCAGATCTTGTTAAAATGTAGATTTTCAATCAATAGGTCTGAGATGGAGTCTGAGATTCTGCTTTTTCTAATAAGCTCCCAAGTGATGCTGATTCTGCTGATCTTCAAACTACACTTTTAGTAGTAAGGCTGCAATTATATATATATATGTATCAAACCTGAAAAAAAAATCAGCAATAATTTAGGTTCTCCAAAAGGTAACAAAACCTAGAATTAAAGTTTTAGGTTTTTCTGGGGGCACGTGGGTGGCTCATTCGGTTGAGCGTTCAACTCTTGGTTTTGGCTCAAGTCCTGATCTCATGAGTGGTGAGATGGAACCCTGTGTTGGGCTCAACACCCAGTGGGGAGTCCACTTGGAATTCTCTCTCTCTCTCTTGCTCCCCTGCCCCTCCCCCCACTTGCACATAGGTGCTCTCTCTCTCCAAAATAAATAAATCTTAAAAAAACCCTCCCAAAAAGTTTTTGGCTTTTCCTTTCGCTTATTATTTGGTCAGTAAAATGAGGGGGAGAAAGTAGCATAATTCATATACATGTATATGTAATTTATATACATGTGAAAAAAACTAGTCCCCCCCCATTTTACTCACCAGAACATATTATGTATAAGAAGCAAAAACTTAATTTTTAGGTTTTGTTACCTTTTTGAAGAATTTAAACACACACACACATATATAATGTTTATCCATTTATCTCAGGGGTTAAAACATAGTGGTCTATTATTTCTTAAAAATTCATGTGAATCAACAATTATCTCAATAAAAATTTCAATTAGAAAAAAAATACAGTGGTCATGTTATTGTACCACATTCCTTGATGACCAAGTATAAATACTCATGTGCATTGATAATACAACTTATGTATCCTGTAAACAACAAGAGGAGTGAATAGGATTTACCCAGTCAACTCATAAAACTACAAAGAATCAAAGACATCATCTTAATTGAGGTGGGAGTTTTCTAGTTTACCACTGATATTAGCTTGTTAATACAACAAATATTCATTATATATTATCAGTACAGGAAGAACTCGACAAACATTTGTTGACTCAGTCAATCCAAGAACTGTAATACACAGTCCCCTACCACCAAAAGACTTACACTATACCTGAAGAGACACTAAGAAAAATTAATAGTGTAATATACACCGCAAGACTGAATACAGTTAGGTTTCAAATGAATGCTACTGACCTAGGGACCATTAGTAAAAGTGCTCAAATATACATATACACACTCATATATATACACATACATGTGTAAGCATGTATATAAATACACATACCTGTCACTGAATTGACTTTATCAAAATACTCCTAAATACTCTTTATCAAAAACCAGTTCTACCAACCCCCTATTCAGAGATCCACTATCTAGCCTGGTTTAGAAAAACATCGTCTATCACCTACTTAAAAAGAAAATAAACCTGTGTTTTCAGAAACTGTGAAACGCCACTAAAAGGCAGCCTGTAACGACTAGGTCCATTGTTCATTTTTAAAATTACGTATATGCTTCATTCAGGAAGCAAACTTGAAGCCCTTCAGATCCCTCTACACTCGCAATTCAAATTATACACAGCCTAGGAAGCTAGGCAAATAAGGATCTGTGATCTCAGAGGTCGATCCCGGAAAAATCCTGGCAAGGTATAGGTTCCGATTGTGCGGAAAACTCTATCAAGCCAGGAGTACAGGGGGTAAAAAAAAAAAAAAAAAAAAAAGGCGGGGAGAAATTGAGAGCAAAGACAACCGAGGCTCCATAAAGTCATACGGAAGGAGTTCTTGGGAAGGAACCTCGGGAGGCGAGAGGAGAGGAAAGAAAAGGACGCTTACTTACTTCTTGTTGTCAGTGAAGAAGCGTGTCTGGAGCTGAGCCATGGCTAGGAGTACACACAAGGCTTGTCTACAGAAACGTAAGGGGTAATAGTCAGACAACAGGCTCTCTGGTCTCTTAAGACTACAAAGAGAGGCAGCTCAAAATTAGCTCGCACAGATACGCGAGAAGATGCAGTCTTCTGGGCTTCCGCTTTCCTTCCTCCGGCCTCCACAGCAACGAGACAACCACGAGGCTGCTCTTACACAGACACCCAGCCCACAAACATCAACTACCTAGTCCTAGATTTAGGAATCATCGATTAGTGAAGCATAGTTTTAAAGGCGGAGTGTCCCTAATTTTTTAAATTTCTTTTAATATATTTAGGCCTGTGGTCGATTATGAAGATACGGAAAGGCCCAATTCAAACTGTTTCTCTTTTTAATTTTAAGAGGTTGTCTTCCGAACCGATACTTCAAATACAGTTCCTAGACACTACCACTCCCAGAAAGCAGCGCTTCTCAGACGCTGTAACCACTGGGAATTGTAGTCTTTTTTGCCACGCTGCCCTCAGGATATCTTATTTACATTAAATTTTCCCAACTCCAGTCAGATATCTATTATATTTCCTCTGCCTTCACCTTTAATTTACTAAAGGCTTTTCGGCTTTATTTTCTTACGCATCTCCCAATCATAACCTCCCTCTACGGAGACTGTCGGAAGGCTCCCACCTCTAGCTTCAGGCTTTAGATCCAGGTAAGCGTCAGGGATACGGGAGAACGAATCAAAAAGGAAACGGACGACGGTGGCCGATAGTGGTCTAGTCTCACAGTACTGCGCTGCGCGCTCTCAGAAGGATGCGCCTGCGCATTGTGCTGGTCTCCATGGCAGGGCCTCGGAGCCAAGACGAGGTTGAGTAGACTCGTTTTGAATTTTCTCCCCTCTGCTCCGGCACCTTGTGAACTTCCCTCCTCGCCCTGTAGGGCTCTCGGAAGCGGCGGGACTAGGGGAGTTGGGGGTTTGGCCGAGTTGTCGGCGCCCACGAACGGGACACTACCTCCCAACCCCCATTTCTTTCCTCCTGCCTCCTCTTCCCGTCACCTCCTAACCAGCCTGCTCCCTGAAGCAACCGCTGGCCCCCGCCCCCATCTGCAGTCGGGCCCCGGTGGTGCCTTCCGCGCCCAGCCTCGGGGCCTTTTCGGGGCCCCACACGATGAGGCCCACTACCCCCCCTCCCGGGGCCGCGCTGGGGGGGGGGGGGGGCGCTCGGGAAGGCAGGCTGGAGAAGGAGATTAAGTGTCTGGAGGAGGGTTGCTGAGCCCCAGGACGCGCCACCGCCGCGGAGAAGGACCCGGACCCCTTGGGCGGGAGCGCCTAGTGTGTGGTCCTTCGCGCAGCCAAGAGCCCCGCTTTTTAGATTTTGTGTTTTTTGTTTTGTTTTGTTTTCTCCTTATGAGCCCATTTATATCTTCTGGTTAGAGGGGGAAAGGCGTCCTCTCCCACATTCTCCTACAATTTTTGACTTTTTTTTTTTTTTTTTTTGGTCTTGAAGTTACCTAAAGGCCTATGCCTTAATCTAAATGGTCCGGAGAGTTACTCTAATTGAATTTAGTTATTTCGCTGTGGGAGGGTGGATGGAGAGATACTATCTAGATCTCAAAGTCACATTTTAAGTCGTTCGCCAAAACTGCAAGAGACATCAGTTTAGAATCAGGCAGAACTGGATTGCAGAATTTGTGGGCAGAGCGGTATGTGTGCAGGTGAAAACAACTAAAGTTTTCCTTTACGTTGTTTAAAGATGCGCTGCAATTAAGTAGGCACCTGGTATTTAAATAAACCATAGCCTATGAGAAAGTATTTAAACAATTGTAAGCGGAAAAATAATCTTTTATTGGAAAGCAATGATAATGAAAGTAGGACTATTTTCAATTCACTCACCTTTCTATTATGCGGGCTCTCGAACCTGAATGCCTCAACTACTTATTAACCGCTCTGTGCCACACTTGGGTCACTGTAAGAATTAAACGCCACATAGTAAATGTTAAATTTATCACCATCATTATCATTTAGATGTCTGTTTGGCTAGAACCTTTGCCAACCTGAACAAGTAAGAGAATAGCTTCATGGTTAGAGGAATAAAAAGAAAATCTCTCTGCTGAAGTCCTAGGAAAGGAAGGACTGGGCTTGCAAATAGAACCTGTGGTCATTTAACCATGTGATTCATTGTAATGGTGAGAATTGTATGCCTTAGACCACCTGAAGCTTGAAACACTTTCTTAACTGAAGTCTTGCTATTTAATCCATATTTTCTGAATTTGGTAGACATGGAAAGAAATTTAACAGTTTTAAACATTTTCCTTTAATCATAAGTGATTTTTTTAGTTACAGCAGTAAAATTGCCTGAATTAACATTCATAGAGCTGGAAATAACCTTCATATAATTAGGTTCTTTTTCAGATTATTTTTTTACTATTGATAAAATATTATTGGTTAAAATATCTTTTAAAAATTTATAGTTAGAGGAGTTCCTGGCTGGCTCAGTCAGTGGAGCATGCATCTTTTGATCTCCGGGTTGTAAATTCAAGCCCAAAATTGGGGGGGGGGGGATTACTTAAAAATAAAATCTTAAAAATAACAAAAAAGGTATGGTTTAATAAATTTTAGTGATCATTAATTTGACATTTAAGAAAGTACAATACCTGATAGTCACTATAGGTTGATCTTAATTTGAATTGAGAAGTATGACCAGTAAGATACAGAACCTAAATATATACTTAATAAGATAAAACTTCAATTTGCAAAGCAGAAATGTTGAATTCACTAAAGTACATTTTTCATTTGAGACCGTCCTTTAGTTAAGGAAAATTGTAAGTGTTCTAGAGTAACTGAACACCCCCTGTGGTGGCTTTGGTGTTTTTTAAGTAGTGACTCTTGTCATATTTGGTGTTCCCTCCATGCAGTACTTAAGGTAGTACTTTTGAGTGTTTTTCTTAGAACATTAACTTCAAGCTTTTTGTTCTTGATGATTTCGTATGTGAGTCATTTACTGTGGTCTTCGTGAAGACACATTGTTATCTGGAAGATCACAGCTTGGAAGATATGTGTCTATTTATAGGTTTCTTTTTTTCTGCATGTAATGGCATGGTATGGTATGATCTGAAGACTATGCATGGGCTTCAGAGTTCTGTTTGTTTTGGGGTTTTTTTTCCAGCTTAGTTTTGAATCTGAGCTCATACTCTCTCTGATCTTAATTAAGTTACTTGACAGCTTTGGTTTTCTTACCTACAGAGATAAAATCCAACTCAGTGAATGTGAGGATTAAATGAAATAATCTGTATAGCTCTCAAAGAGCAAAGAGGTACAATGAGGTATGTATTTACAGGGTAAAAAACGGCTAGAAACCAAGATTATAGGGAAGTTTATAGAGAGGGCAAACCTTAGATTACAGAGACATTGTGAACACTAGCCTTAAATTTTTTTCAGTGAAAAGTTACTATTTATATATTTGCATACATTTAAAATTTTGATGTTGACAACACATTATAACTTCCAAACCCATCTTTAAAAAAATAGTTTTTTTTTTCTTTTAAGATTTTATTTATTTATTTGACAGAGAGAGACACAGCGAGAGAGGGAACACAAGCAGGGGGAGTGGGAGAGGGAGAAGCAGGCCTCCCACTGAGCAGGGAGCCTGATGCAGGGCTCGATCCCAGGACCCGAGGACCATGACCCAGGACCCCAGGACCATGACCTGAGCTGAAGGCCAACGCTTAACGACTGAGCCACCCAGGCACCCCCCAAAATAAATTCTATCAAATACTTGTGAACTAGGAGTCTTGATTTAATTTTTGACACCACTGATTGATAGTAATTTTGTATACATCATAAAAAGAATATTGTGTCATTTACCTACCCTAAAAGATGAGAGAAATTTTATTTTCTAAAGTACTTTTGAGCAACATTTTCTTAATGTTAATAAGTTAAAAGATCTAGCCCTGATATTTAATATATTTCAAGATCCTTTGAATCTTAGGACACTCACAAAGGACGTAGAATTAGGAGAATCTCTAAGACTAAACTAAAAGTGGCTTCATCATTCAGTTACCCTGTTTGGGGATTTATTTTCAGGTAATTGGTTTTAACAGATACATTTTATCACACAAAAGTCTAGAGGAAACTCAACAGAATAATCAGATGTTAAGAGAGAATTACCTGTAAAGTTTTGAACAAATAAAATTTGCTGTTGAACAAAAGCAAAACAGCAGTAGCCCAAATATGGTCCACAGAGATATGAGTGAATACAGCCTGAATAGTCAGTCTTTTCCTTTCTGCCATGCATTAAATATGTATAAACAATAAAAAGCCCTTTTTCCCTTTAAAATATGAAACTTCTATTTTAATAGTTTCTTCCTAATATTTGCTTTTGATATAAGGTAAAATCCACTTTTTTAAGTAATGTGAAATATTCTAGAAAGCAATTTGACAGCAAAATGTAATGCTTTAGTGTGTGTTGTGAACTTCAGTCATTAGCTGTCTATACGTGTAATACTTCTTTCTGTTTTCTTTATGTAATCCCAATACGATTTGCTTAAAAACTAACCTTGTCAAACCAGTTCCAGGATTTTTTACAGGGTGTACAGGTTTAGGGAGTGCAGTCTTTGTTCTCAAGCTTCTGTGGTTCCAAAAAAAATGCCCTGTTAGTAAATATTTCATGAGAGATGCAATTTACTGGGGAGGTCTTTGTTTCAGTAGTAGTTAAGGAATGTGAGTTGCAACAAAACCATAGTCCAAACACCTAATTTTAGATAAGGAAACTGACACAGATTAAGTCACCTACTCCTGGACACATGCAGTTATCTATAAAGACCTAATCTTTAGTTTTCTTCAGCTGAGTTAGTTGATGGTTCTACTGTACCGGGATGGTAATGGCTATTTTATAATAAAACCTGGATAACAAAATCTAGTAGTTTTCTTTATGTGTAGGAAAAGAACATATACTTTGAATACCTTCTCATTACAGAAAAAATGCTGCTGTGAAGACATAACTATAGCTCTCACACAACTATCATGATTTAGTGCCCCCCAAAGGAAGAACTTAAGTGGACAAGAGAGGGCATTTCTGGGAATGATAAAATGCTTGAGGCCTGAATTTAAATTTGAGCTACTACCTGAAGGTAATACTTTTATTTTTAACTAATTGAAAGTAACAGATCTATAAAAGTTTATTACTATTATATATTAATGAAAAATCAGATTTCACTTTGTATATAGGTACTTTGTTCTGTTTATGTTTACCAGTTAGAAGAAAATACCTAGCTATTTAATATCTTCGTTCTTAAAAATTTCACTTTGACATAGTTAATTGAAAGTTAGGGGGCGCCTGGGTGGCTCAGTCGTTAAGCGTCTGCCTTCGGCTCAGGTCATGATCCCAGGGTCCTGGGATTGAGCCCTGCATCGGGCTCCTTGCTCAGCGGGGAGCCTGCTTCTCCCTCTGCCTGCCACTCCCCCTGCTTGCGCTTTCTCTCTCTCTCTCTCTCAGTCTCTCTCTTTGACAAAAAAATAAAATCTTTAGGGCACCTGGGTGGCTCAGTCAGTTAAGCGACTGCCTTTGGCTCAGGTCACGATCCTGGAGTCCCGGGATCGAGTCCCACATCGGGCTCCCTGCTCAGCGGGGAGTCTGCTTCTCCCTCTGACCCTCTTCCCTCTCGTGCTCTCTATCTCTCATTCTCTCTCTCTCAAATAAATAAATAAAAAATCTAAAAAAAAAAAAAACTTAAAAAAAATAAAAATAAAATCTTTAAAAAAAAAGATAATTTCTAACATGTACTGACATTGAGGTTAGAGGGGAAAATTGGATATTTTAAGTCACCCTGCATTTGTCAGGATTGAAAAGCGTAATGCAAATTGATGGGGGAATTAAGGGAGGAAGGAGTAATACTTTTCTTTTCACTTCAGTTTTTTTTTTTAAAGGATGTCTATAACAGGAATGTACTTTCAACTTCCAATTCAACAATTGGTTAGTCAATAGATATCAAAATCCATTTTTCCATATAGAAACTACTTTAAGTAGTGTTTTCCCAGTGTAACCATAAAAAACTTCTTTAACCTGTCGTACATACTGAAAAGAAAATTTTGAGTTTTGAGTTCCCAAAAGACAGCAGAAAAAGAGGGGCGCCTGGGTGGCTCAGTCGTTAAGCGTCTGCCTTCGGCTCAGGTCATCATCCCAGGGTCCTGGGATTGAGCCCCACATCGGGCTCCCTGCTCCGCGGGAAGCCTGCTTCTCCCTCTCCCACTCCCCCGCTTGTGTTCCCTCTCTCGCTGTGTCTCTGTCAAAAAATAAATAAAATCTTTAAAAAAAAAAAAAAAGACAGCAGAAAAAGAAATTATCTTTGAGTGGTAAAATCCTAGTCTGAACCAAGTCCTGAAGTGGGTGTTTTTCTGTAAACAGCATCCCCACCACCTTTGCTGGTACAGTTCCCTGGCATCCATCCTTTCCTCTTCATTGCAGCATAGCTCAGGCCTCTGCTGAAGCCCTTTTAAGTGTTCTGAGCTTCAAGTGTGCTTGCTTTCTCACGTCCAAATTAGACTTCCCGGGGTAACTATTCTGAACTCTTCTTAAATGAAGAAAGGGATATAAATTTACCACAAATTTGTTAATGACCGATACTCTGTCCAGAGTTTTTTCTTTTTTAAGAGAAAATGCTTATTATCTCCAACGAAAATTTCAGCGAGGGTAAGAGAAAGTAAATAAAATGAAAAAGATTTAGGCCAGTAGGGATAATTTGTAATGGGATCAAGGCAGCTCTTAGGAAACTGGGAGTAAGGTTTTAGAATTTTTTTCCCCTAAGCTGTTTGCACTTTTCACTTCTTCTCAAGCTCTGCTTTTGAATCTATTTGCAGAATGTTTTCTCAATGACTACAGTGCCTGCAAGATTAGAACTCTAGCTTTTTCAAGAGATCAGAGATGTTTAGATTGTTTGCAGGAGGGCTTTGGTGCTTTAGGGACTGCCTCTGAATTTGAATCAGGAGAAGTGGAGAACAAAAATGAACAAAAAATTTTCTTTTAGCATCTGTAATTTGTTAACGTATCAAAAAAAAAATTAAAGCCATGACTAATGAAGGAAGGAGGGAGTTTTTTTCTGTTACTTTGAAAGAATTCCTATTGTAATAATAAAGAGTAGGCTTTGGGATCAGTACATGTACCTTGCTTAGCCACTTAGTATATTTGTAATCCTGAGAAAGTTACTTAATTGCCTGAGTCTTATTTCCTTACATGTAAATTGGAGCAAGTAACTGAATCACAGGGTTGTTGAAAGGATTATATAAAATGACATATGTAAAACACTTTTAGGGGCACCGGGGTGGCTCAGTTGGTTAAACCTCTGACTCCTGATTTCAGCTTTCATCATGATCTCAGGGGTGTGAGATCCAGCCCTGTGCTGTGCTCCATGTTCACTGGGGAGTCTGCTTCTCTCCCTCTGCCCTAACCCTCACTCACACTCTCTTTCTCTCTCAAATAAACAAATAAATCTTAAAAAAAACCAAAACCTTTTGGCATAGTGCTTTACCGTAGTACTCAATAATTGATAACCTTATAACCTTGAGCAGTGAGCCTCAGTTTCCTTTTCTGTAAAATGGTAATACGTTTTACATCACAGAATATAGAGTGATTATTCATAATTCTAGCTAGTATTAAGTATAATAAACATTCAATAAACATTATATAGCTAAGACAAGTTCATAATCTTCATCTATTTTGTTTTAATAGTGTTTATATTTAAAACTCAAAGAGCTCTCAAAAATATATATATTTTTTAGAGATTTATTTATTCATTTTAGAGAGAGAGAGGGAGAGTGGGGGGGGCAGGGAGGAGCAGAGGGAGAGAGAGTCCTAAGCAGACCTCACACTGAGCATGGAGCTGGACGAGGGACTTGATCTCACAATGCTGAGAATACAACCTGAGCCAAAACCAAGAATCGGAGGCTTAAACAACTGCCCTACCCAGGTGTCCCTCAATAATATTTCTTAATCTTGACGTCATCATGTTTAGACAGTGAACATTTCAATATAATTAATTTACTTTAAAAAATTGAATTGTATTCTTTTTTTTTTTTTTAAGATTTTTATTCATGAGAGACGGAGAGAGAGAGGGAGAGAGAGAGAAGCAGAGGGAGAAGCAGGCTCCCAAGGAGCAGGGAGCCCGATGCGGGACTCCATCCCAGGACCCTGGGATCATGACCTGAGCCAAAGGCAGAGGCTTAACCATCTTAGCCACCCAGGCGCCCTGAATTGTATTCTTGACAGCGATTATTTCAGTTTTAATACATCCCTCAGTAGTACCTTATTTACGGTTGAATCTAACTTTGTAAGACTTTTCTTTTTGAATAGTGTTCTTTTATTTTTCTACTCTGGACATTGGATGATTTACAGAAAAATCAATAGATTTACAGAAAAATCGAGCAGGGGCACCTAGGTGGTGCAGTCAGCTGAGCTTCCGACTTGGTTTCAGCTTGGGGCGAGGTCTCAGGGTGGTAGAATCAAGCTCTGCCTCCAGCTCCACACTCAGCACGGAGTTGGCTTGAGATTCTCTCTCCCTCTCCCTGCCCCTCCCACTGTGCATGCTCTCTCTCTAAAATAAATCTTTAAAAAAAAAAAAAAATCAAACGGAATACAAAGATTTCCATATTCCCCCCCACACATACATTTCTCCTCTATCTGCTAGCACACGGTTTTCCCTTTATTAACATTTTGCATTCGTGTGGTACGTTTCTTTTTTTTTTTAATATTTATTTATTTAGTAAGCTCTATGCCCAGCACAGGACTAGAACTCACAATCCTAAGATCAAGAGCTGCATGCTCCACAGACTGAGCCAGCCAGGTGTGGCATATTTCTTAAAGTTAATGAACCAATATTGATAGATTATTGTGAACAAAAGTCTATAGTTTGCATTACTATTTGTGTTGTATAATTTTATGGATTTTGACAAAACCCATGTCAAAATGTCATGGATCCACCATTACGGTATCAGAAAGAATTGTTTCATCACAATAAAAATCTCTCAACCTGTGGCAACTATTGATCTTGTTACTGAGTCTATAGTTTTGCCTTTTCAAGAATGTCGTATATTTGAAATTATATAGTATGTAGCCTTTTCAGAGTAACTTCTTTTACTTATTAGTATGCACTTAAGGTTTTCCTTGTCTTTTGTGGCTTAATAGCCTTTTTCTAAAATTGAAGTTCACATATAATAGCAGTTTCAGGTGTACAACATAGTGATTTGACAATTATAAACGTTATGAAATGCTTACTGTGGTAAGTGTAGGTACCATCTGTCATCATAAAAAGTTATTACAATACTATTGACTATATTCTATGCTGTACTTTTTATCTTTGTGACTTATTTTTTTTGAGAGAGAGCAAGCAAGCAGGGAGGAGGGGCAGAGAGAGAATCTTTTTTTTAAAAGATTTATTTATTATTTTAGAGAGAGAGAGAGGAGAGGGATAGGGGAAGAGGGAAAGAGAGAATCTGAAATAGACTCTGCACTGAGCACAGAACCTGACATGGGGCTCAGTCTCACGACCCTGAGACCATGACCTGAACTGAAACCAAGAGTTGGACACTTAACTGAGTGAGCCACCCAGGCACCACATGACTTATTTTATAACTGGAAGTTTGTATCTCAGTTCCACATGTAAGAGAGATCATGTGGTATTTGCCTTTCTCTAGTTGGCTGCATATCTTTAGTAAAGTGTTTGTTCAAATATTTTGTCCACTTTTTGTTTGGTTATTGTCTTATAAGTGAGTTGAAACAGTTCTTTACGGAGCTGGGATACAAATTCCTTTATCAGGAATATGTTTGGCAAATATTTTCTCCCAAACTGTAATGAATAAAAGTTTTTAATTTTGATGATGTCCGTTTTATCGATTTGTATTTTCATGCTTTTTGTGTCATGTTTAAGATATTTTTTGCCAAACCCACAGTCACAGATTTTCTCCTATGATTTCTTCTAGAAGTTTTATAGTTTTACAGGCCATGATCTGTTTCAAGTTAATTTTTTTTTATTGTTTGAGGTAAGGGTCATTTACTGTTTTGCATATAGCTATTGTTTCAGCTCCATTTGTTGAAAAGACTGTCCCTTTTCTCTTAATTGCCTTGGCACCTTTATCAAAA